AACAGAACGGAACGGGAGGTCTATTGGGGTTATATTCACGGGACGCGAGGGACGACTTTACGCTACCGACTGGTCAACAGATATCACTGCAGAGCACTCAGGAGGACATCCATATGCGGTTCGGGAAGGCGTGGAGAGTGCAGGACAGGGTGTCGGTGTCGGACGTGACACAAGTGGCCTCACTCTTCCATCACGACGCTATACCGTTCGCCTTCTACGACGACCCAAACTTCTTGCCTGAGTTCGGTCTTCCGCCCAGACTTCCCGATTGGGCCGAACACTTGAGGCCCGAAATGGAGTCCGTTTGCGCCGATTCTATCCCCTGTCAGTACGACTATGTCATGACATTTGATAAGGAATACGCAAAAGTGACGAAACAACACGAGGCCTACGCCCTCTTCCTCGCCAATGAAGCCGCGCGTAGATGTAAGGCATTATTCATTGTCGCCATTTCCCCGATCAGTATTGCTTTAATAATGTTTATTTGATTTGTGCGGTTAAACAGACCCCCGATGTCCAGCGCTGCCAAAGCCATTGAATGGTCGCAAGTCTGAGAACCGTTATTGGCCGGGAACTATCGTCCGATTCTCGTGCGATGACGGCTACCGATTGGTCGGTTACGAAGCCCGCCGTTGCCGAGAGGACGGCCTCTGGTCTTGGGGTGTGGACCCCGAGTGTATCAGTGAGTATTGCATTGCTTTGAATCACTTAACAATTGGCGCAATACTAACGCATTGAATGAATTGTTACCTTCAGGTGATCTCAAATATACGGGAAGAATAGCTGGTATTGGCGTTGGAATAATTTTGCCCATAATTATAGTTATAATACTAGTTATCGGATGTTTCATATATTCGCGACGAAATACGAAAGAGCACTACACGGGAGAGCCCGGAATGTATGCATTATTATCACAGAATATTCTGTTAATTACATGATATTTTTAATACATGATATGTTGTTGTCCTAAAACTATAGTCAACAGCCGTTTATGGAGTATTCAAACGCAAAACAGGCGAATGAAAGTATGCCCGGAGGAGGAAAGGCTATTAAAGAGATCGAGACGTCCGCCCGGGAGGCCGAGTGCTAAATAAACTTAATTCAAACATTTAATCAAATAATTAAAGCCCCAAATAATCATTTATTGGAGTCAATACATAAAACGTGTTCACCATATCATTCAAACTCTGCCATCAATTCTTTTGTATTTGTTATATTGTATTCAAACATATATTTTATGTCATTTTTGCCTTTAAATATCGAGTCATATATTTTTTTCAATATTTTAAATATTCAATTGTTTTTAATAAAATATGATTAATAAAATAGTTTTGGACATTAATTAAATAATCATGATATATTAATATTCTTTTAAACTAAACACAATAACCCAGGTGCATTTACAGTACAATTGGCTATTTACAGTTGGTTACAGTAGAGGAGATGTGAATGTAATCATCAGTTATGAATCATAAGTTATGATTCATAACCCATTGATACGTTGGGTGAGGCGTTGAGAATGACGAGTGAAGATATAGTATTAAATATGATAAAAATTACAACAATTATATATTCAGGTGGAATAACAAATCTTACAATAGATTCCTAAAACAATTTTGGCAAACATTGAATCAAATATTTTTACACACAATCATTATTCACAGACTATTAATAATGCATAACTCTTTTAATTAAAACTTTTAATGTTTTCTAAGAAAATTTATGTTTTTTCAATAAAATAAAAATTATAAAATCGGAAAATACTCGTAAAATATTTTCAGGGACTCTATTGATGGACGCATTTGATTAAAAGATAATTATTTGTTTCTCACACTATATGTTAATTTAATTCAAATTAAATTAAAATTTAAGTGTATTTTCTCAATGACACTATCGTATCAATATATGGCTATAAATAATTGAAATCATGCCATACATACATATTTTCTAATTTTAGATCTCCCTCTCTCTCTCTCTCTCTCTCTCTCTCNCTATTGGGTCTATTTGTACCCCTTTTGCATACAATTCACAAATACGGTGTATTAGTGCCCAAATCTGGATCCTATGCCGACTCTCTCTCTCTCTCTCTCTCTCCCACTAAATTTAATAAAATTTAGTGATTTGTGAAAACTTTATTGCAATTAAAATTATATAATTTGCGAGAAAACGATAGCAAATCCTTGAGGTTTAGATGGAAAACACCTCTTGAATACTAAATATAACATTATATGATTGGCCTCCAAATAAAAGAGTATATAAACGGTGTCCATCTTTCGGACCAAACGTATCATTCAATTGCTTCGTTGTCTTTGAATTTTCATAAAACTCCTTCTCATATAATCTTTAAATATGAAATCCATTTCAGTTATAGTTTTGTTGTGTATTTTGGTGGCAGTTGTGAGCGCCCAATACGGCGGTCATAATAGAGGCTATGGTGGCGGTTATGGGCGCTCATTGGGCGGCTATGGCGGTGGATATGGAGGCAATTATGGAGGCTATGGTGGAGGTTATGGTGGAAATAGAGGCTATGGAGGCGGTTATGGATACGGCGGCGGACATAGAGGCGGATACGGAGGTTATGGCGGCGGTTACGGTGGCGGTTATGGAGGAGGCTATGGTGGTCGGGGTGGTTACCATGGATAATTTTTTGAGATAATGAGACTAAGCTATTTTTATCTAGTATTAATGCGAAAATATTTACATACAAAATTTTATAAAATATTTATTTAAATTCTGTAATAAATATGCATTCTTTAAAATATAACTAAAATGTTATGTTAAATAAAATATACATCAAAAGTAAAATGTCATTTAAAATATAAATTTAATTTACATTCCGTTAAATGCTTTTTAACATAAATTATAATTTATAAATATATATCAATATAATAATTAGTTATCTAATAATAAATTTATAGCTCTGTTTATAAATAACACATAAAATTAAATAAATGTGCGAAACATTTGGTCAATTGATCAGTGATTATGGATATGCGGACCTGAATCCGGGCACCCCTTCATAGAGTGTGTTATGCATTAGCGAACATTTATTTCGATTCAATTTATACGGACTTTGTATAGGATTTGTGTAACAATTTGGTGAAACTCTGGCAAAAAAGTTGTTAGTGTTGTGAAAGTCAAACGATTTGCTGAGTTTAGTGTTGAGATATTCTTTGCTTTTGTGACTTTGGGATGAATTATGCGAATAACTGTCTGTGAGATCATGAGTGCCACCAAAACTGGTGAATATTGTGGACAGAGAGTCGGCATAGGATCCAGATTTGGGCACTAATACACCGTATTTGTGAATTGTATGCAAAAGGGGTACAAATAGACCCAATAGTATGAGAAATGCGTAAACATTCATAGATATGCCGATTATTATATCACTATATTTTGATTTATTAATATTCATTATGGCTATCATTGACGCTATGAATACAACGGCCGACAGAAGAGATACCACAAGAACTTGATTGCCGTCTCTTTGGTTGAATGGCGTGTCTCTCGCAGACCAACACATCAGCAATAATAGCGACAAAACAATAGTTATATATATTTGACTTCTCATGTATTCGTAGCCATCAGTCATACAAAATCGCTTCAAATCTATTTCACTGTTTTCGTCAACGATTGACGAGAACTCATACCTAAAGTTAAATAACAAACAATAAAATCAATTATATTGACAAAAGAGTGGTATTAATAGAAAGTGTGTATTAATACAACTATTGATATCTTACTTCCACTTCTGAAACTCGAGAGCAGTTTGAATGCCGACAATAAAAAATAGTGTCAGCAATTGATTTAAACGACTGGTCCGACCGCCCAAACCAATCGACTTCTGGGCTCTGATATACATCGCTCTTATGAGAAGTGAACCGAAAAGCAATGAAACGCTTATGTTATGAATGGTATGCCGTAAACAACACATCATTGAAGTCGGATAAAAGACAAAACTGTCAGCAAATGAGACATAAATTCATATTTATATAGAATTAAATCAATTCTTGTGCGCAAATAATAGCATATAAAAAGGTGTCATATTTACAGCGATGAGCCCAAGAAAGTGACGGCAACCGCAACCAAATGACAGATCACTAGCGCCTGATTGGCTTTCCTGAGAGCGCCTTCGCATGACTTCATCAACAGAAACGTCTGGACATAGAGTGTGATCAGTATTCCCAGTATTGATGAGCTGAGTATTGTCAACGACCAGACGGTTCCCAACCAAATGGTTAGACTATTGTATCGCTTTCTCGTCACATAATTTGACTCCAGATTTGATGGTCGAGCGGACGATGTGTTTAGCGACGGAAAGTCATGCGAAACCATTCGTCTCTCGATTGGGGCCGAAGAGTCGGTCAATTGGTGTTTGACTGTTGAGCGCATTAAACTGGACGCTGACATAGAGCTGTTGCCAACGTTGCCATAGAGTGGCTGCTTATAAATGGTGTGCATATTGTTTGACGGCAAAGAACTCAATTGATTCTTATGAATGGCTTTTATCATAGATTTGGGTCGAGTTCTGAATCGATTGATACGATTTGCGAGAATTGTTTGCATGAATTTGGTGTCAATATTGAGTCCGTTGTCGAGTGAATAGAACCCGAGACTAATTGTCTGCCAATTGGAGGCAATGATCATAATGTGATACTTCCATGTCATGAGTTTGCCCTCACTATCGAACCGAAGTCTAACGCCATTCAGATCTTTGAGACCGCTTTCACTGATCACTGCATTCAAGTTCTTGAGGCTATTGATCATCAGATCCGTGAGGTTTGCGTTCGTCGATAGATTGCAATTCACTTTATTTCCGGCACATTGTTTTTGAAACAAATTCTTCGCACATAACACGGAACCGATACATAAGAAAATACAGTTAATAATTGCTAACCTTTTAGTAACTAAAAACAATGGCAAATGAGAAACAATGGCAGACCTGATACGCAAGACTTAGCGCCCAAACGGCTTTCGCCATCAGAGAGACACTCATGTCGGGCACATGTGTTTGGTTGGCTCTCTTGTACTCGTGTATCAACGGTTGATCGCCTTTAGTGTCCGCAGTGTTGGCCATTGTCTCGAAGTAGTTCTGGTATTCACTCGACTTCTCCATTAGAGGCGACACAAGAAAGACGTTTTTTCTAAGCTTTTGGCTTCGGTTCAGATGTGGAGATGTTTTCATTTGTGCCGATATATCACTGTTTGTGACAATAATATACGAATAATTGGATGTCAGACCGTAATAGTCATCACCGGTTCCGCTCAAACTGTTTAATAGATTCATCGCTTCCGATGAACTCAAATAAAATATAGTATTTGACGAAAAAAGTTCCTTCAATTGTATAGAAAAGAGAGAAAGACATTAAAAGTAAATTAACAAAACAAAAATAAACTATTTATAAATGTTTTAGTTTTTCAAATATACTTTAACTAATACTAACATCTCTTCTGCGAAACCTTTTTCCACTGCTATTGGAATTTACCTAAAAATACAAATTAAAGTTTTCTTTAACTCTTTTATTAACAAATTCTTTGCTATTTTTATACCAAATTATCCGATGTCTGACCATTTGAGCGATCATTTGTGTTGTAATTATTATAATTACTGATAAAATTCAAGTCATTATGACTTTTGAGTGACAATGAGTGCAGATATTGTGAATCAAAAGCTGGTTCTTCATCGGACACAACTAAAGACATGGATTGCCACTTGAGTTCCTTCACTAATGACATGACCGCCTGTTTGATAGACATATTGGATAACAATAGCTGTCATCAGATAAGAGACAAATAGATGTGATATAAAAGGTGTTTCAAGACTTGCATTTGACAGGTATTTGACAGCCGGTGCCACAGAAAACACATTCGTTGCGTTACTTTCATCATTAGGTCTGCTCTCAGATGTGGTTATTATGGGAACTTTGAACGACTTGAATAAGTCAAGCGATTTGTCAAATAGTTGTCCGTCAAATATAACGCCTTTTTAATCATAACAATATCGCAAATTAGTTATTCATTTCACACATCTATTCATATATTTCATAACACAATAGGCTTTGAGGTTAAGAAAATTAATCAAAAGATGATAACAAGAATTACATCAAACATATGGTCGATGTGTTGAGAAAAGAAACTAAATTATGTGATCATTAAATTGATTTCAATAGAAAACAAATTGCTCTCAAAGTTTAATGATTGCCTTCACTATTGTTACAGTTTGCCTAACATTAGCCCAAAATACTGAATACAATAGAAAGTCTACGTTAATTGTTTTTAGAGGTATTTATTTTTAGATCAAACCTATTGTTAAAGTTTTTGTCAGTAAATGAAACTAAAATCAAAGTTTAACAAACAAATAGTTTTAAGACTAATATTTTATGCAATTTATGTTTAAAATTTAATGAAAATTTAAAACATATTGTCGTTGAAACCAATTGAAAATACAAACCGATTAATGGGGGATATATTCTGGAGTCGCGACAAACCCTATTACCGACACTAAACAGATGTGATATTAGGCGTACGGTTTGCCTATGAGTGACGGTTGGGTCGGCACAGGTGTCGTATATAAATACCCCGATCTCATCGAAACTGTTCATCTTTTGTCTTTGGTTATACATATGAAGGGCCCATACATTAGCCATTGAGTTGTGAAGACCATTAACGCTAATGCCATCGCATAACGATTGTGTGGAAGTGCTTGAATGGGCGCCTATTAGAAGACCGATATTCACCTGTTATATGCCATTTGATGGCAGAAATGAACAGAAAAAGTGATTTACGATATTTTCTTCACTTTCCATTACATAATTGTATTTTGATTATATAATATGTAAGCAATGGTATGGTGTGTCTCCTATCATGAGAAGTCTTCATATAGTTTTATAACAAATATTCTCACGTCTTATTGACCCGATTTCCTCTCAAAATCATATCAATTATATTCACTAAACAATTCATTCACAGAATTATATTTCGTATTAAAAACTCCGTTTTTATATCATTTTATTTTCAAAAATTCTGAATTTTTTTTATCTCTCTGTAGATCTATAAGAGGATCAAAATATATCTTTTGTAGTGATTTTTTATATAAATATCTTCTCAAGCGTTCATTTGTTTTCATATATCTTATTGTAAATCAATTGTGACATAAGTTTTCTTTTATACATAAAAATAAACCACATTTTGTGTTAGTTTTTCACATTTCATTATTAATATAATAAGTCTATTGTAAACAGAAAATCACCGAAAATATGTTATTCAACATTTTGATTGTTATATATATATTCGCGACTTTCTACAAATATTACATAACATTTAGTGTTACTTAACTTTATAAGACAACAGAAGTTCTTACATGACATTATATCTAAAATAGCGTTTATAAACTAAAAGTTTAAGATCAATTATATCAGGATTTAACACAAATTATTTATATTATTTACTTATGAATGTATATCACAACTTATGACAGCATATGAAATGTTTAGTAATTTGCATTCAATTCTAGTTTAGTTTATCATATTTGACAATAATTTGAATATGATAATATCAAAATATTTGAATAAAATATTTTACAAATAATTAACATTGTTTACAAAACAGTTTTGTACATAAGCATACTTTGTCAAATGTTTTTATATTTAAGAATTGTTATTTACATTTATTTTATATGTGCTATATTTATCATGTCATTTAGACTTATATTGCTAACTTTTACAAATGCAAAATTATAACCTTAATATTTTTAAATTAAAGCATTCAAAAATATATAATTTATATAAAAATGGTTTTATACATACATTTCCTTTATAAATGAGAGCTCTTGGATCCGACCGCACATTACATATCCATAGGTTAATCAAAATCAAAATTGTTTTAAGTCTGACCACAAATATAATCAATCGTCGCATTGTTTTTCAGACTTTGATTTAAGAGAAAAATGGAGAAAATATTACTAATTATTGGATATTATTTTTATTATAAACATATTATTATTATTGAAAACAATTGAAAATAAGTCTTTAAGACAATATTTTTAATTATAATCATTTGAAACAACCTTTAATTCAATCACCCATTCATTGCCAAAACATAAGTCAATTAAAATTTGGTTTTAAAAACTTTCGGCAAATAATTGATCAAAATTTTACGCTTAACTAAAGACATGGTCTCTCAATAAAATATATCACAATTATATATCACATTAATCCTTGAATTATTCACTTTTTAAGTAATAAACATTATAAACTATTTTACAAATTAATTTAGTAATAATTAATTTTGTACAAAATATATCAGTTTTTAAGTCTAAAAATTATGTCACATTTATTTCGTGTTTGTATACAAAACAAGTGTTTAAACACAAAACAAAACACGATTTGAAGTTCACATAATAATAATTCTCAAATTAGAGTAAATATTATGTTATATACAGGAGTTGTTTCACACAATTCACTGAGAATAACGATCGCTAATAAAACAACACTTTTTTGTACGAAAAACAGATCTGATATTAGAAATGAAAAGAAAAGGCAAAACCAAACCACTAATGAATGAGAACTTCAATCTCTGTTTTACGTGTCTATCGCTTCACTAAATCACAAAACATTGCAAACAATTAGTGGATAAGAATCACTGACTCCTAGAAACCAACGCCTCTCTCTCTCTCTCTCTCTCTCTCTCTCTCTCGTCTCCTCCTTCACACCAAACATTGTAGATCTCATTATAAGTTAACTTATTATACAATTTTGAAATCTTAATTCTTATCTTATGTCATAATAAGCCATGAATTTTGACATTTCTTCACAAATTTAATGTCATTTTCTCAATGCATACAATAAATAGACAACATTTTCATATA